ATAACGAACTTCTTTTTATCACCGATATATGACAAAATACATATACATTTGAATTAAGTTACCTTTTACTTTTATTTTTTAGTTTTTGATAACAAGCTTCCTTTTACTACTTATATACGACAAAATAAATATAAATTTGAAATTATTTTTTTTTTAATAAAGAAGTTACATATTATTTTATTTTTTAAGAAAAAAGAAGTTACATATTATTACCTCTTAATATTTATCAATATAGCTTTAAAGAAAAAAAGTTAGGGAATCTTTGAAGGAGGAGTGTTGTAATACAATTTGACCCTTTGGGGCAATTTTCGCTCTTAAAAGAAGTATTTGCTTATAAGACTCAAGCTCTTATGCTAAAAATGTGCCCCATATGAAAAGTGATCATGCCAACGTAATTTTGCATGAAATATCGCATAAATTATCTATATAATATTTTCCTCTATCCTTAAAAAAATGAAACTATCCTCTATCTTTAAAGAATAAATAAACTAAAATGATTACATTATTTATTTCGCGAAAAAAAAAATTGAAAATTATTATAAAAAAAGTGACAAGAAAGACAAAAAATGCGTGTGGGGAAAAAAGAAAAGTAAAATAAGAGAAAAACGCGTCTTTGAAGAGAAGAGAACGTCCCATTCCATTAGGCATGCAATGCGCGGCCGTGAAAGAAGCTCACTCCTCTCTTTTTTTTTTTTCAGTTATATTTATTTAATCCAAATTCACAAATAATAATCAGAAAATTGGAATAATGTAATGTTGTTTCCGTAGAGTTTATGTTTCATAAAAGTTTCATGAGTGGGTGGAACAAGTCATTTTCAATTAGATTCTATATGTTAACATCAAATAGACGGTTTTGACTAATTACTATGGATTTTTTTTTTGTTTTGTTGTTGATAATGACTTACTTCTAAACACGAGATTATCTTTGTTATAAAAAAATAAAATAAAAAGCTCGGAAAAATATAAGATTTTATACACAAAGAAGGTGATGATAAACTTAAAAAAATAAAATAATAGAATTATCACATCACAAAAGATATTCATCTTGAATTGCTCTAAAGACAGCCAATTATCTTATCTCTCTTATCAAACTGTAATTTCTTCAAATCTCTCTGTCTACTTCTCTCTCTAAAGGAAAGAGTACCAAAGAGACTAATAAGAAAAAAGACAAAAATAAAGCATTAAAAGTTTAAATAAAGCACGTAATAACAACAAATTATTACGTAATAATTAAATATCAATTCCAAATATACACCAAACACCTC